TATTTAAACTTATTTAAAACAATCCACTTACTTCGGTTAAAAGTTCATTGGTGGACGACAACAAAAAACTAAAGATAAAAATTTCAATTTCATTGAAAAATATTTTATGTGCTATAGTACACTTTAATCACTACCCAATCATTTTCGTGGTAATCACCCAGAAACATATTAAGCATAAATTGCTTAGCTCATAGTTTGCTCAGTGCTCTCTCATCCGTCACAAACTACTGTATATTCACAGTTTCAACATGTTCTTTAATTTTTTCTTGACCGTGATCCAAAAATGTTTAATACACTTTTTTCTTGCATTATTTTTATTAGTTATTGACCAGCCTGAGTCTCATCTATCAATGAAGGTATTATTACTACATTTTAACATACTTAAAATCAGGTAGCTTGCAAATAGCACACCTCATAAATGAATTCTTGTTTCCAGTTTATGTACTATCGATAGTCGAGATACTTTGTATGTTTATTGTTAGGGGATGTGGCACTGCGATCGTCAGGTCTATTGTGTCCTATGAAATAACAATGCTATTAGCTTATATAACTCAACACACATTAAGAGAAGACAACTGATTAATCAAATGAACTAACAAAACACAAACCTTTTCTTAACGATTCCAACATTGTCTACCTCAAACACATATCAACGATCGCAACGGTTATCACCAGTACAGCTCACACCAAGGCACCCAAATGCAATGAATCCTACGTAAAATAAATTTTCTTACAACTCAAATACATGTTCTTTATTCTTATCTCGTTCTACAAACAGATTCCATTGAAATATTTTAATAAAAAATAATAAAAGTTATTCCGTATCGCTAAACCAGAAGGCGTGATCCTTATAATACTTAATTACTTATAGTGGAATTTTAATGTATGCTATTTCTGAGGGTACTAATTCAGGTCGCCTCACACCTTTAAATTTGATAACGAATTCGACAAAACCCTTTTGAGTAGTCGCACCAAGTATTTTCTCCGCCTCCCACCCCTTGTTGAACACATTGTTCTGTAAAGACTTGTCTGAAACGGAATCTAAACAAATCTTTTTTTCGCGGCAGTTTTTTCTTGTCTCTTTAGTTGTTGTAGAGCCTTTAGTTTTAACTATCCGAAGCGTTTTTTGACGAAGCGAAACTTTTGTTGTAGTCAACTCGGTGTCATTTTGCTGACTCAAAGCACTCTTCTTAATATACTTTTTTCCACCAGCTGCAGATCAGAGATTATAAGCAAAAACTAAACAAATTATTTTTTAACCAGATATCAGTATATAATATATTGTGATATACTAGGGATATTTAAAATCTCTGTGCATCTCGTTGCACATTCCACCAGTCAAATAATCGTGAATGCATTTTGTGGATATTAGTCTTGCATATATTTAGAACAGCTGATTTTTGTTTTTGTACTTATTTACTTGTAAAATATAACTCAGATTCGATATACATAACTTTAATGATCCCAAGAAAAAGTGAAAAGCAGAATATATTGAATACTGTGCTGAATTTTGTTGTTACAAAATTAAAGGGTAATTTGGATTTGTGCATTTATATATACTTTCTTGTACGTAAAATAAATACAAAATCAAACAATTATCAACACACCCTGAAAGTTTCGCTAAAGTATTGCCTAACAAACAGTAAGAAAAGTAGTGGCATTCACAATAGAGTCTTAAAAATCACGTATGCAAGAGGTAATTGGTGTTGAAAATATGGTCTTGCATTTTGACTTGGAAATCAATTGCAGAATCATAGGGGAATTGTTTTTGTAAAATTAAATAATTTTGCAAATGCACAGAGATCTTGAATACCCCTACTGTGTCCCTTGATTAAACGCTAAAGGCGTTTCTGGTGCTATGAACCAAATATCAAACCACAGGAATACATTTTATTAGTTCATTTATAGGATCCGAAACATATTTTCGACACTACTTTTGTTTGATGAAAACGACGATATTTAAATATATTAATATCATAAATATATTAATAATATCAACTGTGTTGAAAAACCTTTTATTTGAACTTATACTTTTAAGGCGATAACATTGGAGAAGAGTTCTATAGAAAACTGAGACATACAGGAAATTACTGCAGAAATCTAATAATATGACAAGTTCGAATTTTCTTATTAATACGAGTATTATATGATATTAGTATCA